TTGTGTACCCCGGAGCTATACATTGTGCGGCTGTCAAAAATCTGAGTGAGTACAGTTTGCTTTTTATAGCGCGTTTACAGGACAACTTGGAGAGAATCTGCAATTGGCTCACACGCATCCTACACCCGGGCATGGTCAAAGCCTACACCCCAGCCTGCTACTGCCAATCGGCTTGATACTCCCTCACTCCAAAGGTGTCCCAGCTACCCCTCGACAAAATCGCGACTGTTTGCGGTCCTGGCTCCAGTAGCAAACTACAGCATTAGGCTGTCTTTAAACAACTGCTGAGTGTCTATGGGATCAAGTTGCATAATCATCTCGGGCCTAAACTCCCGCAACTGGCTCCTGGCTGCTGAGCCTGCATGTGCCGACCTCTGCAGCTAATCCAGCGTGCAGCAGCTCGGCTGGTTTCAGCCTACCCAAGTTCTGCCGACTACACCGCTCCTCTGCACCCTGCACTGGCCAAAGGAGAGCAGTGTCAAATCGGGCCTCATCGCCAAAAAGGGTCATATCGAAGAAGAGTGAGGGCTTGAAGTCAACGCCCTGCGCTACGCTGCGTGACGAAATGACGGGCAGAGTCTGGCAAGTCGTGTTGTATTGTGTACCCCGGAGCTATACATTGTGCGGCTGTCAAAAATCTGAGTGAGTACAGTTTGCTTTTTATAGCGCGTTTACAGGACAACTTGGAGAGAATCTGCAACTGGCTCACACGCATCCTACACCCCGGGCATGGTCAAAGCCTACACCCAGCCTGCTACTGCCAATCGGCTTGATACTCCCTCACTCCAAAGGTGTCCCAGCTACCCTCGACAAAATCGCGACTGTTTGCGGTCCTGGCTCCAGTAGCAAACTACAGCATTAGGCTGTCTTTAAACTACTGCTGAGTGTCTATGGGATCAAGTTGCATAATCATCTCGGGCCTAAACTCCCGCAACTGGTCCTGGCTGCTGAGCCTGCATGTGCCGACCTCTGCAGCTAATCCAGCGTGCAGCAGCTCGGGGTCTTCAGCCTACCCAAGTTCTGCCGCACTACACCGCTCCTCTGCACCCTGCACTGGCCAAAGGAGAGCAGTGTCAATCGGGCCTCATCGCCAAAAAGGGTCATATCGAAGAAGAGTGAGGGCTTGAAGTCAACGCCCTGCGCTACGCTGCGTGACGAAATGACGGGCAGAGTCTGCCCGACCACACGTGCCAAGGTCAGCGTGGGCGCCGTCCTCGTTAGTATAGTGGACAGTATCTCCGCCTGTCACGCGGAAGACCGGGGTTCGATTCCCGACGGGGAGACTGGACTTTTCTACCAGCTGCTGATTATTCACCAAGAAAGACCAAAAGAATAACAGCAGCATCGAGCGTGACCCGCTGTCCGACCGAGGCGAGGATATGCTTAGCTTCCCATTAACAAAAGACAATAAGCCAAGCAGAAAAAGGCAATAGCAACACTTGACTGTATGAGTCAATTTCTCAGTTCCTGTCTGTCGCCTTTATTAGCAAGTCGTGTTGTATTGTGTACCCCGGAGCTATACATTGTGCGGCTGTCAAAAATCTGAGTGAGTACAGTTTGCTTTTTATAGCGCGTTTACAGGACAACTTGGAGAGAATCTGCAATTGGCTCACACGCATCCTACACCCCGGGCATGGTCAAAGCCTAACCCCAGCCTGCTACTGCCAATCGGCTTGATACTCCCTCACTCCAAAGGTGTCCCAGCTACCCCTCGACAAATCGCCACTGTTTGCGATCCTGGCTCCAGTAGCAAACTACAGCATTAGGCTGTCTTTAAACAACTGCTGAGTGTCTATGGGATCAAGTTGCATAATCATCTCGGGCCTAAACTCCCGCAACTGGCTCCTGGCTGCTGAGCCTGCATGTGCCGACCTCTGCAGCTAATCCAGCGTGCAGCAGCTCGGCTGGTCTTCAGCCTACCCAAGTTCTGCCGCACTACACCGCTCCTCTGCACCCTGCACTGGCCAAAGGAGAGCAGTGTCAATCGGGCCTCATCGCCAAAAAGGATCATATCGAAGAAGAGTGAGGGCTTGAAGTCAACGCCCTGCGCTACGCTGCGTGACGAAATGACGGGCAGAGTCTGCCCGACACACGTGCCAAGGTCAGCGTGGGCGCCGTCCTCGTTAGTATAGTGGACAGTATCTCCGCCTGTCACGCGGAAGACCGGGGTTCGATTCCCCGACGGGGAGACTGGACTTTTCTACCAGCTGCTGATTATAACAAAAGACAATAAGCCAAGCAGAAAAAGGCAATAGCAACACTTGACTGTATGAGTCAATTTCTCAGTTCCTGTCTGTCGCCTTTATTAGCAAGTCGTGTTGTATTGTGTACCCCGGAGCTATACATTGTGCGGCTGTCAAAAAATCTGAGTGAGTACAGTTTGCTTTTTATAGCGCGTTACAGGACAACTTGGAGAGAATCTGCAATTGGCTCACACGCATCCTACACCCGGGCATGGTCAAAGCCTACACCCCAGCCTGCTACTGCCAATCGGCTTGATACTCCCTCACTCCAAAGGTGTCCCAGCTACCCCTCGACAAAATCGCGACTGTTTGCGGTCCTGGCTCCAGTAGCAAACTACAGCATTAGGCTGTCTTTAAAAACTGCTGAGTGTCTATGGGATCAAGTTGCATAATCATCTCGGGCCTAAACTCCGCAACTGGCTCCTGGCTGCGAGCCTGCATGTGCCGACCTCTGCAGCTAATCCAGCGTGCAGCAGCTCGGCTGGTCTTCAGCCTACCCAAGATCTGCCGCACTACACGCTCCTCTGCACCCTGCACTGGCCAAAGTAGAGCAGTGTCAATCGGGCCTCATCGCCAAAAAGGATCATATCGAAGAAGAGTGAGGGCTTGAAGTCAACGCCCTGCGCTACGCTGCGTGACGAAATGACGGGCAGAGTCTGCCGACACACGTGCCAAGGTCAGCG